CTACAATCGATCAAATACCATTGTTTTTGAGCATCTTTTGTCATTGTCTTTGATGTTTATTAATAAGGACTTTAAACGACCAAAATAAATCATTTGGACAGCAAGGTTTGAGGTTAAATTGAAGAGGATGGCCGTAGCAGAGCATTCAAAGGTTTTTCAAAAAAGTTTCAGATGTTAAGATTTGTAACCAGCGGCGGTACATTGTCCAAAGATACAAGAAGCATTTTGAGACGAAGTGGATTAGTCGTTGATGCAAAAATGATTTTCTGTCGACAAAAAATTTTTTTGTCGAATTCCAAAACAACAACGTTGCTGTTGTATTCGCTTGTAAATTAGCTTCTATCAGGAATTAAATAAGCATTTAATTGCAAAAACATGTTGATTTTTAAAGAACAAAAAAAACACGTCAGTATTTTCGGACAAGAATAAACCAGTTTTCAACAAATCATTTGTTTACTCCACGAAAATCACGTTCTTTTTTTTTTTACTCTTCCCCTCCGAATTTTCCCTGATGTCTCTTATTTAACGAGCATCTTTTTCATGCGTTATCATAATTAATGGAAAAACCAGAAAACAATTGTGTTAATGCCGCTTATTGCTTTGCGCTTGTTAGTTTTGGTTGGAACCATGTTCCTAAAATTCCTTTTCCAATCTGGCCCCGGTAACAGTTAACGTCAGCAACACACATAAAAGCACAAAGTACTTTTCTCGTTGCACTACGAATAGAAAAAGGAAAAGTGAATGAGTGAAAGAACGAAAGAGCTGTTCACCAGCTGCACTTGAAGAAAAAAATCGTCATCAGCAACAAAGAACTGTCAGTTTGTTTCTTCTGCTTACTTTTTCAGAAGAAAATTAATTTGACGAGATGTCACAGAAATCTATGTGTAAGAAAGTAGAACAATAACTGGAGAAAAAATTTTGTTGGATTATTACATAACCTGTTAAACGAGAATACAGTACACAAGTAGACTGTTAAAATTTTGACCAACAACATAAAAGTCAGCTGAGCATAAGAACAAAGTTAAAGTTTCATTCACTATTCAAAATTGAGAGAAATAAAAAGAATTTGAAGAAGATAACAACAAAATCAGAATTGACCTTAAAAATTAATCTACAAAGTTATGTTGAAAAAGTTAACTGTTACGCTCACCTTATTCCGCATTTTCAGTTGGCTTCACCTAATTAGGAAAATTTTATAATAATTAAGAAATCAATTTTTTAGTCTGAAATTTTCTTTATATCAGATAATTACGCAAACATGCATTCAAGTAGATGTCAAAAAAAAAAAAAAAAGCAAAAAAGTAAACGAGACTATGCGATTACCTTATTTTTGTAAATGTTTCACCACTTTCAAGACCAGTTTTTGCTGAGGTTTCTGCTGCTGTAACAAAATTTTTTATCGTTGATGAGGTATTCGGTACCGCATGAGATGCTGGAATAACCTTTGGAATATTCTGTTGTAACCGCGGTAGCGTAGTACATATAGAATTATACGATGGAAATGCATTTACTAAAAAGAAACAGGCCTACTTTACATTAAAGTTGCAAAAAGCTTTCTTTTAAAACGATATCAGTTGAAGAATAAAAAATTAGACAAGTAAAACTGTGAGAAATTTGATTACGGAGATTTGCTTGCTGCAGTTTCATGAACTGTACCGCCAACAATAGTTTCAAGTCAACTTGTGCCAAGTTTGGCAACAAAGGTATCGCTGTAGTACCCACAATGCGGCTTTTTTCCTCCTGCTCTTGAAGAAGTTTTTGGGTAATGATAGACGAAAGACGCAGCTCGGCTTCACTTATTTGGCACATTTTTGCTACTTGAAAAGCCTGAAAATCTTTTTTTAATGACTGACCTCAAAGGGATTTAAAATGATATTCTAAAAAAGTACCGATGTTTTCTGTTAGCAACAATAATTTTAAAAAAAATCCTATTCATTTTGATGTATAGGAATGTAACGCATTTACAGAGAAGACAGTAAAGTTTTTTTCAGTTACTACTTTTATAACATTTTCTTAATTTCTTCCTTAAAAAAACCTGTATCATCAAGTTGGAAAATGGTAGAACAAAATGCGTTACACCATAGTAAAAAGAAATATCGCTGTTTTGTTTTGTATATATACCGACACAAAAATGGCATCAATGAATGAACACCGTTGTTGCTATAAAAAGAGCAGAAAGCAAAATAAATAACAATTTTTTTCTTTTTTTTTTTTTTGGAGGATGGCACCGGCGGATAACTATATGTATTTACACTAAAAAGCTA